AGGGAAAGTAAAAAATTACGTTTTCTACTTGTAGGTAACTAATAATCAACTCTATTACTTCAAACTTTTTTCTATACTGTAAACTACCTTAATCATGCTCTCCTTGCTTTAAGTCAGGATCCTAAAACCAATACAAAATGATACTATTGGAAAAATTATAGTATCATAAATTAAAAGTGAATTCCTTCCTATAATTGGAAAACTTCATCAGAAAATAGTCTGATAAAATCTTTCAAAAAAACAAAGTCAGTAGATATCTTCTTTTAAGACAAATTTAAAGGTGAAAATTTTAAACAGTTTTTTAGGAAAATGCTTAGCTCTTAGACCAGTGTCCTGAGAGTTGGCAGGAAGTAACCAGACAGAAAACTTCTGCCCCATGAAAAGTTGAAATTGGGTCGTCCACACCTGCTGCTGGTAAATACAGAGATGTTCTGTGATCCTCAGATCTGTTAAAGTACCCCACTTGTACCAATTAAAAATCAAGAAGAGTAAATTTATGGCGTTAAAAATCTAAAGAGATTTTAATGGTCATTCAGTTTCAAGAGAGCTAAAATATGTTAGGTAACTCGCCACTGGTTATCAGACATTGGTACTCTTTATTGCGTTTTGTTTTTTATTTTTTCTTTTTAAATTTTATTTTGAAAGTAATGTATGTTCATCTCAGAACATTCGAGCAATGCAGAGGTCTCCGAGTCTTAAATCTTTTTAATAGGTAGATAGTATTCCATTATATAGTGTTCCATATTATATCCATTATAATACATTATATAAGATATAATTGTTCATAACACAGATAGTGCAACAGTGAATACTTTTTATACCTTATTAGTGTGTGTATGCACCTTGTATTTTTAATACAATTTTTGTATGGACTATTTTCCGGAATATAATATCCCCCCTCCAAAAAAAAAATAGAAAGAAACAGGAGTGGTCAGCGTTCTCAGATTTTAGATTGCTAGTATTTGGAATAAAGTGGGATAAATAAAAAGAAATAAAGTGAGTTAAGTAGTTTGACTGATATTTTATGGTAACTTCCCAAAGGAAATATTCCTGATGACTACGATAAGTAAAAGTTGTTTGGAATATTAATTTCAGTTCAGCAAATTTATATTCCTAGTATAAGAATGGAATAAATTATTTAGCAGCGTTTAGCAGAAAAGTAAAACTTAGTGCCTAATTTTTTTAAAGAGAGCAGAAATTTTTATACCTAACAGAGTAAGCATAATCTAAAACAACTGTAGCTCTATGATGCATATTTTAAAAGTTGAGATATTAAGCTGTGCACTTGATTTGGTTTTAAAGTTTGACTAGACAGTTAGTCTGTGAGTACACAGGCAAGTCTTCCTAGGTGGATTATTTGGGTGGACCACTGCGGTCATACAGTCGTCACCCTGGTGTTTTCTAAAAGGTAAAGTTTTACATGCTTAGGCTTCTGTTCCAAGGTACTCCACAGAAATTCTTTTTCTCGCAGGAATTAATTATATTTTTATTTTGCTAGCAAAATACGTAAAGAATTAGTCTTCTGGGTGACAGAAAAGGGTGTAGTTAATAGCTATAATATTAATAACAGCTAACATTCAGTTGTTGCTG